CAGAGAGTATATATATACAGTATTACAGTATTTTAACCACTACCGAGATATAATCGGTGGGCAGGCCCCTATTGGGCAATCTCTAATCAGATGGTAAGTTATATGCCGAGCCTACTGTGGCCGAGCGCCTATGCGCGAGCCCAGAATGGCCGAGATACAGAGCCTAGTATGGCCGAGCGCCTATGAGCAAGCCTACTACGGCAGGGCAGTTATCCGTACCGAGCCTTATAGGGCCGGACAACTATTTTACTTACAATATTGAGAGAGTTGAGTCAGTATCAGCAGATAAGCATATCTTCATATCAGCTTTGAATTGCTTTCAGTTATTATATTATCAGTTCAGTTATAGCTTTCACTTATTCCGTTGCCTTACATACTCGGTACATTATTTCATACTGATGTCCCTTTTGTCGGGAACGTTGTATTTCATGCCTGCAGGTCCTGATAGACAGCTGGATAGACCTTCCAAACAGACAAAGTCAAACATCAGCTTGGTTGGTAAGCTCCACTTCCTCGGAGTTACCAGGTCTAGACCTTGGAGTCCATTTTATATATACAAGTTTGATGGGTAGGTCGAGGCCCTGTCCCGACCATGGTACAGTTCAGTCATCTATAGAGGCATGTATATTTTGTATATTAGTAGATGTTCATGGCGGCCTCATCAGCATGCACAGTTTATATATATATATNTTTGATTTGGCGGTTTTTTATCTTTTTATTTTTGTTTTTTATTTTAAAATAATTTTAAAACTCCATCTCGAAACTACTCCCCAATTTGAATTGGTAGTTTTTTTCGTTTTGTAATTTTAAGATATTATAAAACTCCAACTGTGTTGGAGCTTTGTCCTAAAAATTTACACTCGTCATCTTATGGTTATGCCACTTAGTTTAACGTGGTAACTTTGCCTCTCTTCTTATTATATATAGATATTTGTTACCCTAGAATATGATTGATTCTTTCTGTACAAGAAAAAACTAAACTGCTTTATTCTTTTTCTAATTAGGATAAATTAGCTCATGGAGAAAGGAATAATATTGACAATTTTGTTTCCATTTAAGTTGGTATCAGAGGGGTTCTCTAAAATTTCTTTTTGCATCAATATAACAAAACGAAACAAATTAATTGCTTCTAACCCTCAAAACCCGAATCTTGCACCAGAACCTGTTGCGATACCATATGGTGTAAAACTCAATGGTATGAAATATTCTCATTGGTCGCAAGTTGTTCAGACCTTTGTTGCTGGGAGAGAAAAATTGGGTTACTTAACTGGAAAAATTCAAGAACCAATTGTGGATGATATTACATATGAAAAATTGAGTATGGAGAATGTCATTGTCAAAGGGTGGCTTGTCAGTGCCATGTAACCCGACATAATGAGTCTATTTGTTCGTTTGCCAACTACGAAAAGTATTTGGGATACTGTATCTCAGACTTACTATGAAGGAACAATATTCTCAATAGTGATACGACTTCAAGTATGACTATGGCAATAAAAACCTCTTTGAGCCCAAATCAGACTATCTATATCAAAATTCATGGTGAAAAAGAAGGGGGTTAAAAATTGCTGCAAGTTGAATGAATATCCAGATTGGTGGGATAGCTTAAACGAAAAGAAGTCTCGTGATCGACGAAAAAGCTGCTGTAGTGATATCACCTTCCTCTCATTAATCAACTGCAGTAATACCAACCTTGGTATCAACTCCACCAAATGACATTTCCAATGGTTCTAGTTCTTCAGGTACTATCGAATTTGCTTTAGTAAATATTGATTCCGCTAAAGACTCTTGAGTAAATAATTGATTCACATGACCCAAATCAGTTAAATTTGGGAACTACAAGTTTACCTTATCGTTCACATGTATCTAATGCAAACGATGCATCTTCTCTTGTAACTTATGCAGGCACACGATATTATTGACACCGTCTTTGTGTTTGAAAAACACACTACTTGTACCCTCACTTTTTAATAATCTTTTGTCTGTACCTCAAATAATTACTAAACAACTAAATTGTCTAGTATTAATGTGGTCCGGTCCTCCCCGAACGCCACTCATAGCGGGAGCTTAGTGCACCGGACTGCTTTTTTTTGGGGGTGGATCTACGATTTTAATTATCTTCTTTAGGATATCAATAACAAGGAGATTATTGGGCGTGGTACTAAGAGAAAAGGGCTTTATTATGAGGATGATGTGTGCTCTAGTAGTGCATTACTTAATCAAGGCTCTCATGTCCTAAGAAACATCAGATTTGGATGTGGCATCAAAGATTGGGTCATGTTTCATTTGGTTACATTAAGCATTTGTTTCCAACATTATTGTCCGATTGTAATCCTTTAGATTTTAAGTGTGACATTTGCGTCTTAGCAAATAGTCATCATGCTTCTTACCCGTTGAGTTCTACTAAAATATCTTAACCATTTTCTTCGATTCATTCTGATGTATGGGATCCTACCCGTACCCTACTGTATCTGGATACTGTAAGTTTGTGATTTTTGTCGATAATTGCAGTCGTATGACTTGGTTATATTTAATGAGAAATAAGAGTGATGTGTATGTATGCTTTCGTCAATTTCATTAGATGATACAAACTCAATTCTCTACTAATCTAAAATTTGTAAGATCAGATAATGGTGGAGAATTTATAGTGAAGCTATTACAATCTTATTTTCAAGATCATGGTATTATTCATGAGACAACCTGCTCTTTTACTCCTCAACAAAATGGCGTGGCTGAAAAGAAAAGATCGTCATATTCTTGAAATTACACGTGCTTGTCTCTTGGTGCTAATGTAGAATCTTATGCTTGAGAAGATACTATTTTATCTGTTCTTGATCTTATGAACCGTGTACCTAGTAGTGGTCTTCATTTCAAAACACTCTTGGAAAAACTTTCTGCCTTTTTTAATGTCCCTTCTCATCTAAATTTGGCTCTTCGAGTTTTTGGCTGTGTTGCATTTGTTCAACTCCAGAAATACCAACGTACAAAACTAAATCCTTGTGCTTTAATGTGTGTGTTTTCTGGGTTTCTGTCACATAAAAAAGGATGAGACTTTCTCTGAAAAAGAAATGCAGTTCTCTCCAAAGATCTCCAATACTTCTCTTCAGGTGGAGAGGACCGGTAAAGAGCAGAATTGGATGGTAGTACTACCATATATGTTAGTGAATGATCAAAGTGCCCATAGAAGAATCAGAAGTATCCTATTGCTCATTATGTCTCGACTATGCACTTACCTTGTACAATTCAAGGTTTTGTTAATCATATGTCAAATGTTACCATTCCTACAAGAGGCACTCAATGATCCTATATGGGTGAAATCCATGGCAGAGGAGATTCAAGCATTAGAAAGAAATCAAGCCTGGAATATTGTGACTTTACCAGAGTGGAAGAAACCTGCTGATTGTAAATGTATTTTCTCGATAAAACATAAACCTGATGGTACAATTGATCGATATAAAGCAAGGTTAATTGCTCGTGGCTTTACACAAACATATGGTGTTGATTATCAAGAGCCTTTGTACTTGTGCCAAAGTTAAAAATACTGTTCGATTCCATTTATCTATTGCTGCAAACTTTGACTGGCCATTGCAATAATATGATATAAAAAAAATACATTTTTACATGGGGATTTATCCGAAGAAATCTACATGAGTTTGCCCCAGATTACAATACTCCAGGTGATACAAATATGGTGTGCAAGTTAAAAAAGGTATTGTATGGTATGAAACAATCTCCAAGAGCATGATTTGGGATATTTCAACTGGCAATCCTCATTAAGTTGTTATTTGTTGAAATAGCTGGTTGCAGCTTAAGTGTATAATGTATAAACAATCAAGAAACTGTAGGGCAGTACCTGATTCACGTTAGAAGAAGCTGATGCGACAAAAACTTTGTGCTCACTGCATTTAGCCAGAATTTTCTACAGTGGGACGATTGACACTGGAGGCATTAGGATGGCAAATGAGACACTTGCTCTGCTTCAACGTATTTGTTCACCTATATCTTGCTAAAGTGATTAACTTGAGATAATTTATCCTTGTTATGTTACCTTGGATTTCAGTTGTTTGGTGCAGAAGAAACCAGTTATAAGACTAAATGAAGTTTCTTTGTGGATCTGTATAAATGTTCATTTCTTGTTTGGGAGCCAGGAATATGAAAATGCAATAGCTTGAAACTCTGAATGCAGAAAATATAGAAGCAAAGTAGATTGCAAAATATCATATTCCCAGAATGGTATGATAATACATGCATAGATAACCAGCGCCATAAAATGGAGGACATGTGTCATTAAAGACACTTCAGTGTCCAATATACGTACCTAGTTGCTTCAACTCTTTCATTCACAAATCTGTTTTATCCCTATACAAATATTAAGCCTTCCACATCCTTTCTGAATATGTACTTTTCTGGTTCTAAGAAGAAGTATTATCCTTGTGGTTCCTAGGCTACAAGTCCCTATAAACACAGGAAAATGAACTTTTTTTTGAATTATAATGCTATAACTTGGAAAAAATGATTAAGTGAGCATGTATGTGGAGACTGTCGTTGGGGGTGGGATCGAGAGAGAGAGAGTCCATGTACGCACTGTGAGCTACTTTGGAGGAAATATGAGCTCATGATTGTCATGTAGGAAAATATAACTTTCTAAAGAAGAGTCAATGAAGCCACCAGCGAGGAATACTACATTTTTTAAAATGTAATCTATAGCCTGCACTATTTCATGTTACTATTGTGCTTCGGAATACTACATTTTTGTTGATGGATGAGGGAAAACATACTAGGGTGGTCAGTCATGAGGAATTGAGAAAACATACTAATTTATGGAAAGGATCAATGAAGAAACAAAAGGCAATTTCTCCAAATGCAGATAATGGGAAATGAACTCCAAAATCATTAACTCTAGGACAAGAGAAATCCTTCAGTTATTACAAGAATTATGTCGCAGAGATGACAACAATTGTAATGTTGATCATAGTTTGACAAGAAAGAATATAGATATCACATATCATTTTGAAGTGAATATGTCTTAAAAGCATGTAGGCATTTTGATTTGGTAATCTTCTTTAAACATGCAGTTGCCAATGTTCTGTAGCTTGCTTGCTTCACTGGAAAAGCTGTAAAGGAGTTCTGCAAGATGTCAAACAGAACGTCTTATTTTTTCTTTCTTGTGGGACTATGTGGATGAAATAATGCATAACCCTGTAGATAGACAGCTAACAGATCTCAATGGTACTTCCCCTCTAACTATTTTTGGCCGTCGTAGTTAAACACATGACAAATAGTGATTCTAATGGGTGAAACACCATCATCAGGCAGCAATTGCTTCTTGTTGTGAACAGGTGAGTAAGTAGATTTTCATGACAATAAAGTGTACAGAAGTGAAGCTACTACTAAAAAAGGAAAAAGAGAAAAATTACCTGGAGGGAAGGCAATTGTATCATTGCGACAACACTCCGATCATCAAAATAAATTTCAGTTGATCCTATGTGAGAGAAGCACAATAGTAACATGAAATAGTGCAGGCTATAGATTACATTTTAAATGAACTTTTAATTTTCCTTTTTAAACTAATACTTTAGCAGTTTGATACCACATATCAAAAGCAAGGTGATCCTACTCTTATTCTACTAGCTGGTATACCGGAAGGTATAGAAGGTGTTCTTTCATCCTATATTCTTCAAAACTTCCGGCATTACACAGTTCTTTCTCCAGCTGAAACTGCATCATCTAACTCTAACAAGTCGTGCTGGCCGAAATGATAGAGTAGTACACTGCACACTATTGCCTTTTAAGTTCACTATTCCAGTGAGGAAATAAAATTACCAAAACATCATCCAAGTAGGTGTCTTCAACTAAACAACAGAGACCAGTCAGGAGTTTATAATCTTTGAGCAGCGACAGCATAATCTACGACCTAAAAAACCATCTCAGATTCTAGGTTTCATCTATCAATAAATTTGCCCTTAAACTGCATTCAGATCAAATTTAACTTGAAATTTTTCAGGACAAAATTATTCACAGCTTACTTGTACTGACAACCTTATCAAAAGGTTTCACAGAATACATACAAAAGGTTTCACAGAGTACATACAAGTACATAAACCCTAAATAATTATCATCTTTTAATCAACCGGAGATGCAGGGGGAAGATACATTCTCCGACATTCACCAAGCCTAATGTAAACAAGCAGCTTTCTTTGGTTAACGGTAAACATAAACAGGTAGTTTAGAAATGCAATAAGAATGACAATAGATATAAGTTCTAACCAATATTCAATTCAAAACATTCAAGCACTTAAAAAGTCCCAGATAAAACTGGCCAGCACCACAGAACAATGCAAGCAGAACCAGAAACATCAACTTAAGCTGACTAATCGTATTTCTCCAGTCTGGTGGCTGTTGCAGCAATACTAGCTTTGTTTTGTCGCCTATTTTCCCAAAATAGGAAAAATAGATGCACCTTGCCAGAGACATCCTATGGATTTTTGCTACTGCGTTATTGCTCCTTGCATATGTGATTGGCTGATCGCCCAGTCCAACTCCTCATGCTATTTGGCAGCTATCTCTATTTTGATAAGAACATATAGTTTTTTGATAAGGTGTTTGGAAGTTATCTTTAGAGATATTAACTGACTAAATTCAATGTTTTCCATACATAAGGACCAAAAATAATGAACGCCAAAATTCTTTAATTAAGAAAAGGGCAACAGAAGATCAAGAGAAAATGGAACATTATTCTGCGCATTGTGTCTTTTTAGTGGCCTCATTCTGTTCCTACGGGCAAAGTTACAAACGTTCCAGTTCATGAAGTACGTACATATTCATTTGACTATTATGGAACTATGGAAGGTTGCAGTAATACTTGCTGTCGTCGTTATCATAAAAATTGTAGATGGGGCAGGTTGATCACCTGCACCTTCGATTATCTGTAGTATTTTGGCATGTATGTTCTTAAATAGTATGATGCATACATACACTGATTCGAAATGAGAAAACTCAAGACAAGGAAATTGATCCAGTTAGTCAGATTTTCTTTGTAATGTTTCCATAGGGAGTGCTGGAATTAATGAGGTGGATTGGTCTAAGGATGAAGAATTGAATCAGCGACTATCGATCAGAAGAGAAGAAAAGAACTTTTTGAACTGTTTTGGGCCTATAAGTTCCCCATTAATTTGTTATTTGTTGAAATAGCAGGTTGTGCATAGCTTCTGGATATCATGGTAGCAGAGAACATGAAAAGGAGGATAGAAAGTATAAACCATCAAGAGCTAAATGAAGTGTACAAGAGAAAATACGACCTTATAAAATTGTTGCTGAGAAGAGTATTAGGGAAGAGTCAAAGAAGCTGAAAGTGCATATACAGCTACCAGCGGAGCAACTTAAGGTAAAATAGAATGCACAAATGAAGTGTACAAGAGAAAACATTCCATAAGTTAGCCATTTAGCCAACAAGACATACAAAAATGACTAACCGTCGACTTCCATGTTATAAACGGAGAGGGAACTTGAGGAAGTATTACTTTCAGATGCCAAAAAATGCATAGCTTAACATCAATGGTCAATGCATTCTGTTTTCACTCCTTAATTTTAAAATCTCCTACACTCATTGTTACAAATGGAACTTTTTGTTCAGGTACTAAATTAATTCGACTCCTCTAATTTGCTGTTGTTGTCTTAATTTTAGTAGCTTGATATTACAGATCATAAGAAGAGTGATCCTATACCAACAACCGAAAAATAGTGAAGCAACAAAATTCTTTAAACAGCAAAACATAAAACAGAACATCAAGAGAAAATGTCAAACATATCAAAGAAACAATGAGCAAAAGCAAAATAAAAAAGAGCATCTTTCATAATTGAACTTTTCATTATAAACAATAAGAATGGACTCTAAGAGTCACAGAGAAAATGACAACATCATCTACATTGCACAAAATCGATGATGAAAAAATGTGTTGGTTGTTATTCTAACACCAACATAATCTAAATATCCAATAAGTCAATGTCAGAATCATGCTCTTAAGATTTCACAGATATCCCAGTTAAAAGTACCCTAATTTAAAAAAGTTATCTTGGATTTCAAAGAAACTCAAGAATAAAAATACCCTTTTCAAAAATCTACCAAGCTTCAATTTTCCAGAATTAGTAAAGCAAGTCATTCTGCACTAAACCATGATCCCCAAAATCCAATATAGAATCCCAATCAACTTCCTCCTCATCACCTTCCTGATAATAGCGTTCTTGATTTTCCACGTTCACCATTCCAAAGAATTCATCAGAATCAGTCTGGTTTACAATAACCAACATTCCATCTTTTGATACTAGTTGTCCCATAGAGAACTCTCCACCATCAGACGAGGTACTCTCCACCATCACAGGACTGTTCTCAGACAAAATCATAGTACTCTGTTCTGAGGGTCCTGAGGTTTGGAGAAGAACCCCTTCTTGCAAGACACGATCAATGAACATCTTATACTCTACAATAGTAGCAATACTGTTTCCTCTGATTTCTGATCTGGGGTTCTTCTTAATCGCACAGATTACAAACTCTTTTGCTTCTTTAGATTTCAACTTCTGAAGAAGAGACTCAGCCAAGAAATACTCCATCATCAACCAGCGGCCATTCAAAGAGGAGTCTTTCTTGTGCTTGTAAGTCAAGCTTCTTTTATACCCAATAATCAGACTATCATCTTCATCAAGAATTTGCTTGCCTTTATTCTGCTGTGTCCAAGTCCCATTACCAGTAGTTCTGTTGAATCTGGCATCAGTGGGCTTCTTCTTCTTCAATTGGGTGAGGAAGTAATGGGTTTTCTTGGAACTCAGGTCTCCAATTAATTGCCATGGCTCATTGCTGTAAATATCTGCAAAGCCAATCAATCCTTCAGTTGGTAAGCATTTTCCAGCCACAAATTTCAACAGTTGCATTATCAGATCAGTGTCAGAGGGGGGACGAAATCGAGCAATCTTTTCCATGGGTTTGGTTCTTTCTTGAAGCATTTGAAGAACAACGACAGAAAACACTTTCTTGAATCGTGAATGACACAAAAAAGAAAGAGCGCATTCACGAGGCCAAGATGGGTTTATGAATATCCCTTTGAACTACTAATATATAGACACTTTTGGAGTCGTATGACACGCCAAAAACAGCTGTGACTAATAACGTTTTTTTCTGTTGCAGGAAAAGGGCCAAAAATACACAAATCTAGTTTTGCTTGATTCTATATTTATATTAAAAACATTTTATTAAATATATACAAATATTTAATAATGAATCCGATAACTGAAACAAACTATGACTAAATTTATTGTTGTTCTGCCTCATTTTAATCCTATTTGATTTATAGTTGAGTCATACCTCTAAATGAAAGCTTCGTATAAACAAAAAAATATGGTATGATGGTTTCATTTGCTTTATTATTCAGTAAACACATACAATTGATTTGTTGTTATATATATATATATATATATATATATATTTTATTTTTATTTTTGCGATAAAAAATAAGTCAAATTAAATCACGAACCCCCTAATTTAAGTTTGGCACTAAGAGAGTATAACTTAAGTAATAGTGTTTACCCTCAAAATCGGATAACAATTGAATTTATACATGGTTTTAAGGATACGTGATCTAACTTGATACAAAAATGAGAAATCAGATTAATATTGAAATAAACGATGAAAAGGTAAATGCAAACCACACAATTTGAACAATCTTAGCCTTGAAGGTTGATCACCTTTGAGTCAAAAATACTTTAATCGATGTCGGAACAGAATGATGAGATAATAAGAACTAGGAATAACGATATATTGCTTAGGGATGCGTGTTACAGTATTTTTAATAAATTATCAGACCCCCTTTATATAGTAGAGGAGTCCTATTCTAAGTACATTTTTATAAAAGGTAAAAATCTCTTGATTTACTAATTACCAGTTCCTTACTGATACGTGCCGAGATTCTCGTCGTAATATCCGTCCGCTCGTGGATATTTTGGTCTTCTGTTAGTTATCCTCGAGCTCGTTCGAGGCTAAGGTCGACACCAGACTCAATATTCTTCGAAGGCAGATTTTCCGACATCGGGTCCTAGCTTGGTTAAACTCGAGGTCAATTTTCAGTCTGTGGTCGCCATGTTCCAAACTTAATCTACTAAGTTGAAGTCTAGCTTGACTTCGACCGTATACAGATAGTCCCCTTATTTTTCGGAGAATAATCGACGAGAAACGATATGAACCTCCGATATCTCTCTTCGGTGTTCCTCGTCAGAAACGACAAATTGAACGAAAGGTCTCGTTAGTCACATCTTCATGGCATTAAATGCTCGTCAGTCGCTGGTCGGCCACTTACGGCTTTGAACCGTCATTTGGAAACTATAAATATCCCCTTCTTCATTCATTCAAACTTTTTACATCCAAATCTTCTCTACCCTTGTTTCTTAGAAATTTCAACAGTTTCCAGTACTAAATCTTTGGCTATTCTGAAATCTTTTCACGTGAACTTCGAATTTGTTTTTACCATCAAACTTAATCTTTAAATTTCCTCTCTTTCCTTCACCTATTAAAGAAATGGCGAAGACCTCAAAATTTGTTCCCTAAAAAGAAACTCCCTCTGCTTCGCGACCGTCTGTAGAGGAAAATATTTCATCTGTTGCTACTGAGGAACCGACACTGGAACCTCTTCTGAAGATGTTCGGAAGGAGCATGTCAACCTGGTCGAGAAGGTAAGAAGAGTATTCGAAGTTAGTAACGATCAGTCAGACACAATGAATAACGGTATGAACCCGTAGGTTCAAAAAAACCTTGACCAGATCGAGCAATTCCAGGCGGAGGTGGACACGGTGAAAGCTGAGGACGAAGAATGAAAAAGAAACATGGACCGCTTGGCCTCGAAAAAGGACACTGCCCGGGCATAATTGGCTTCGACTGAGGTCCAGCTCCGGGATGCAAAGGAAAAGGCCTTGGTACAGGCCAAAACGATCGAGGAGCTCCAGACTCAGTTGAGCTCGGCGGTCTACGGTCAAGAAAATTTGGCTAAGGAACTTGAGGCGGCAAAGTTTGAGGTTGCCGTGGTCACGGCCGAGGCTGATGAGAGGGTGGCCCGGCACAAGGCTGATGCCGAGGTGGCTCAGGACCAAGTGAGAAATATGGTGGAGCATATGAAGTGGAAATCCCAAAGGGAGGCCCTCGAGGGAGTTCATGCTCGGGGGTTTGACCTGTTGGCTAAAATCGAGAATGCTAAGGTATTCGAAGCCAAGGCCAGGAAGCTGGTTTTCCCAGAGGAGGAAGATTTCGTGGGGTCTGAAGATTCAGGTGAGTCCGAAGGTGACGGAGACCTCGAAGGCGATGATGCGGCCCCCGGCAAAGACTAGGCCACTTAGGATGTTTTTGTCTTTTGCTTTTTGAGGTTGTTTGGCCGTTGTAACATTTTGTATCGGGGCTATTTGGCCCTTGTAAAAAGAATTTTCGATATGAATATATAAGGCTTTCTTTCCCTTTCACAACTTTTGGATTTTTCCCTTTGCTTTATTATTTGTATTCACAAAGATCGAAATGCCTTAGTATGAAATAATTAGGTTATGTTTGAAGGTTCGAACTAATCTCGCCTCTACATTATTCTATTTTAACGCATCCTGGGAGTTCGGTGTTACCGAAGACTTTCTCCCAAAGTAAGCAATTTAGATTATAATCTGTTGAGGGTAGCCTTTAGAATTGGTTATGAAAAAGATTTTGAAGGCCTTATTTTTGTTACGGATCTCGGACGTCTCCGAGCCGTGTTAATATGGACGTAGCCTTTTTAGTTCGGGTGTCACCCAATGGGCTTGCTTTCCTGAGTTATCCGAGATTGCCTAAGATAACAGTCCCCGAATGGGGGCAGTCGTGGCCTTTGAAATTCGGGGGTTGCCATATAGGTCTTATACTCCCGAGGTCTAATAGCTTGGACCATCCGAGTTTGTTTTCGGATGGTAGTCCCCGAGTGATTGTTCGAACTCAGGTCAAGGCGGCCCTTGGGCTCGAAACCTTTAGGGGATCGGAAGTAGGTAATTCCTTAAGAAATGCAAAGGAAAAATTTTAAAGGACAAGATGTTTTTCAAGGAAGATACTTCTCTTTATTCTTGTGCATAATAGTAATACATGTGTACATGCTTTGTGTCAGGGTTCGAGCAGTATATGTGGGCATGGTTCATTTTACCGTTTGGCCCATCCATTAAATACTATCGATCGAGACCCTTCAATCCTGAAGTCTCTTTCCATGCTAAAGTTAATATCAAAGGGTAATGCCCCCCAGTGTTCGGGGTTGATCGAAGAGAGGCCTCGAATGATGTTATTATCATCGTACCGATTTGCTACTAGCCTTCAATTCTAAGTTAGCATGATTTACTTGTTGCCTCATTAAAAACCTTGTCGTAAAACTCATTTGGGACAAAATCGGTTCAAGGGAAAAAAGTGCAACGCGTACTTTTAGACCTAAAATCTCGTATTGTCCCTTGTTGGCTACCTGCAAGCGTTAGTTTAAAATGTAAATAAAAGAAAGAACGGGGCCACACCTTAGTATTAATATCACTTTAAGTGAGTTATATTCCAGTTGTTCGGTAGTTGCTCATCGTTCATTGTTCCGAGTTTGTAGGATCCTTTTCTAGTGATCTCGATAATTTGGAATTGTCCTTCCCAGTTCGGTCCCAATTTCCCTTCGTTCGGATGCTGGGTGTTTAGTGTGACCTTTCTTAGTACCAAGTCCCCGGTATTGAAGTGTCGAAGGTTGGCCCTTCTATTGTAATACCTTTCGATCCGCTATTCTTTTGCGGCCAACCGGACAAGGGCGACTTCACGCCTTTCATCTAATAGTTCCAGGCTCGTACTCATAGCCTCGTTATTTGATTCCTTTGCTGCATATCGGAATATGATACTTGGTTCTCCGACCTCTATCGGTATCAAAGCTTCGGCGCCATAAACCAAAGAGAACGGGGTAGCCCCGGTACTGGACTTCGAGCTCGTATGGTATGCCCATTGGACTTCGGGTAGCACTTCCTTCCATCTTCCTTTGGCATTCGTTAACCTCTTTTTGAGGTTTTAGAGTATGGTTTTGTTAGTAGATTCAGCTTGTACATTCCCATTAGGGATATAAGGTGTTGATAGGATCTTTTTGATATTGTGGTCTTCAAGGAATTTGGTTACTTTGTTGCCGACGAATTATTTCCCATTATCGCATACAATCTCGACCAGCATTCCGAATCGTCATATGATGTGGTCCCAAATGAAATCAATGGCTTCCTTCTCCCTGACCTTCTCGTACGCCTAGGCTTCCACCCATTTAGAAAAATAATCAGTCATAAACAATATAAATTTAGCCTTACCGTGTGCCTATGGGAGGGGGTCAACGATGTCTATTCCCCGCTTCATGAACGGTCATGGCGACAAAACCGAATGCAGCATCTCCCCGGGTTGATGAATCATCGAAGCGTGTCTTTGGCATTTATCACATTTTCGAACGAACTCCTTCGCATCTTTTTCCATGTCGATCCAGTAGTATCTGACTATTTTTCGGACCGACTATTCGGCTCCCGAGTGATTTCCACATGTGCCTTCGTGGATTTCCCTCAAAACGTACTGAGTATCACCCGACCTTAGACAAATTACAAGTGGGTCATCGAACGTTCTTCTGAACAGAGTTCCTTCTTCTGACATGCTAAATCGGGCTGCCTTTGTACGCAGGGCCCTCAATTCTTTTAGATCCCAGGGCAGTTTACTAGTTCTTAGATATTCCACGTACTTATTCCTCCAGTCGCAAGTTAGGCTCGTTGAGTTGATCTTGGCATGGCCTTCTTCCACAACCAATCTCATGAGTTGTATGACTTCTCCTGAGTTGAACTCGTCATCTTCGATCGACGACCCCAAGCTAGCGAGGGCATCGGCCTCGCTGTTTTGATCCCGAGGTACATGTTGTAGAGTCCATTCCTTGAACCGATATAATGTCACTTGTAACTTATCCAAGTATTTTTGCACTCATTCTTCTCTGACCTCGAATGTCCCATTAACTTGGTTTACCACGAGGAGGGAGTCCCACTTGGC